TGCCCTTCTCTGGCCACGCTCCAGCCCCTCAAGGTCCTTCTGGGAGGGAGGGGCCCAAAACTGACCCCAGGATTCGTGGTGTGGCCTCACCAGTGCCCAGTCCAGGGGACAATCCCTGAGCTGGTGATTCCCAAGCCAGGACCCTGTTGGCCACTTGGGCACAAGGTGGCTCATCTCCCAGCAGCTGCTAGCCAGCACCCCCAGCTCCCTTTCTTCAGGCAGTTTCCAGCCACTGCTCCCCAAGGCTGTAGTGCTGCCTGGGGGGGTTGTGCCCCAAGTGCAGGACCTGCCCCTTGGCCCTGTTGAACCTCAGCCCACTGGCCTCGATGCAGCCTGTGCAGGTCCCTCCGTGGAGCCTTCTCACCCTCCAGCAGATCAACACTTCTGACCCCGTGGTGTCTGCAAACTTCCTGAGGGTGCCCCAGACCCCCTTGTACAGATCACTGACAGAGATGTCCCACAGAAGTGGCCCCAGCCCTGGGGAACAGCACTTCTGACCATCTGCCAGCTGGGGTCTGGGGCTGGGGGTGCAGTCAGCTGCTCCTACCCCAGACAACACCACTTGGGGCAGTGAAGGTCTCCTCCCTCAGACCACGCTCTCCAGAGGCTGTTAGCCAAGAGACTTTGGGAACCCAGGCAGGTTTCACCCTTTTGGGGTTTAGTGGCTGCAGCACAGCTGGGAAGGGAAAAAGGAGGTGGTGGTAAACAGGAGCCCCAGTGCAGAGCTGGGGCTGGAGCTGTCACAGCCCAGTGCTGCTCCTGTCACAGCCCAGTGCTGCTCCTGAGCCACATGCCTCAGTGCCCACGACCTGTGCAGGACAAGACGTGTGAAGCAGCACCAGGACAAGGATGGAGCCTCATGCCTGAAGGTGACCCAGGTAAATTCCACAGCCAAAGGTGTGCAGGGGCTCCCTGGGGTTGAACCTCATCCTGTGTCCATGATAAGGACAGGTCTCTCGTTTTCCAGCAGGACAAGGAAGCACTTGGCCTCAGTGCAGGAGCCAGCTCGGGCCTGAGGATGCACTGGCCAAAGCCATGGAGTGAAGGATTTCACCAGCCTTAGAGGGGGATGATTTCAGGGAGGGTGTCTGAGGGGTGAGCTGCTCCAGGGACTCAGAGTGGGTGGAGTTTTGTCCAGGGCAGCCCCTGCCAGCAGCCCTGGGTTGAGCAGCACAGCAGAGTGAAGCAAAGCCAGTGCTGTGACTGGCTGCAGGGAGCCTGGAGGTCCAGCTGGGACATGCAGCTCTGCCCCACAGGCCTGGGGGGAGGGTCTGTGGGAAGGTGGGTACCCCTGGGGCTATGCTGGAGGAGAGTCTCTGTGTCCTTCCACTAACCACACTCTACCCCAAACTGGCCACAGCTTTGAAGCCCAGAGGCAGGTGGGCAACACACTTTCCATAAGATAAATGGGCAGGAAACAGGGAGATGAAAAGGGTGGGTGACAACTGAGTTTCCACAATGACTGTTTCCTGCTTCCTGATGCAACTGGGGCACAGAAAAAAAGCCTGCTAGGCAGAGAGGGAGGAAGGGAAGGGGGTAAAAACAGTGATTTGTGCCTGAGAGGGAACTGGGGTGTCAAGAACCTCTGTATTTGTCACCAGCAGGGAAGAGACTGCAGTGTGATAAAGGGTTTTATTGATGGAAGGGATTCCAGGAACTGTGATGAGGCAGCAGACCCCCCATAGGACAGTCTGGAGGGAAAAATCTTGAGTCCTGCACCCCCTTCCTCCAGCAAGGAGGTAGGGAAGAGTCTGCTGGGGAACAGCACTTCCCAACACCAGGCTCTGTCATCAGAGCTCAGGAGCAGTTCAAGGCCTGGAAAGAGAGAAAGGCAACGTGAGCAACACTCCTGCAGAGAGACCCACAAGCTCCAATGATCTCCTGGCCCCTTGCAACAGCAGCAGGACACGTCCTTCACCAAACTCCCTCCTCTCCTCTGCTGGGAAACTCCAAACTCAGACACCATCCATACCAGGGCCTCCAGAGAGGACAACCCTCACAAACAGAGCCTGGGAGTTCCAGCTCCCAGAGCCCCACCTGCAAAGAAGAAATGGTTTGTTTCTCTGGTAGGAGAGGAATGTGGGGAGGTTTCTGTAACACTCTGGAGCCAAACTGCCTTTTAAATTAAAAAAGAACCCCAAAAATACATGCACAACACCAGAAAGCCAGACACCCTAACCCTGCAGCCACCTCGAGGACAACAGCTTAAGACCAAGCTGGGAGCCAGGGCTCCTGGGTTCTCCAGGTTTCCAGTTCTCTCCCAACTCTACAAAAGTTTTGTGAGCTGCTGTTGCCCCTGTTGTGACCCCACAGATCAGTACCTGCCTCTTCTGGAGCTCAGCCCACGAAATTGATGACAACAAGATGGAGGATGGTGTTGGCAAAGAGGAAGTCAGCAAAGGCCCTCTCAGGTGAGATGCCCTGGAACTCGCCCTTGTTCTGGGGGTTGATCTGGATCCTCAGGCACACTGCAGGGCACAGGGAGGATGAAACATCAGGGATCACAGCAGTAATCCCCAGGGGGAAGCACTGTCCACCCCAGGCTGGGCTCCTGTGCCACCAGGGTGCCCCAACAAAGGGTAACCCCAGCTTGGTTATAAGATGAGCAAGGGATTTGCACAGGGCTGCTCCTGGATGAACAGGCTGATAACAGGATGGGGCTTGCACAGCAACAGGGATATTTGTGTCCTCCAGTGGGTGTGTTGGGGGGAAATGCACAGGAACAAGGTGGTTTTGGGGAGTGTTACAGCAGAGCAGCACTCTGAGGCAGTCACTACCAGAATTTAGGTTTCACCATGAGATGGTTGCTGAAGGACACCACGACAAGAGTAGAGGGAGGGCCCCTTGGCTGCCACCAGCAGCAAGGACACACCGAGGCTGACAAAGAGCTGGGCTCTGGGTGC